TAGTGCGGAGCTGGAGCTCGAACCACTTGTAGTTGGGGCAGATTTTTTTTACAAACTTTTAGATGAAACTGCGTGGATGAGTTCCAGGATAACAATTTAAACCTTGCTTTATTTCTATGATTTTATTATTTTATGACCTTGAGTATGTGTCATTTGTTGTTATATTGAGGTCGTTTTTGTGACATGAAATGTCAGCACTTGGACATAGCCATGTTTCTAATACACAAAGGACAACTTTGTCATCCTTTGGTGTTTGGAACAGAGTGGACAACTGCCGATTTTTGTTTGCAGGTATTAATATGTACATAATCAATTCATTGCATTTGTTGCATTGGTGGGAGTAATGTTATTGGCTGTGTTCGGTGCATTGGTTTCTATTTATGTAACGTGACATTCATAATTGTTTGCAGCAATTTTTATGGCCGTTAACAACGCCTCCTACGAAACGAGTTACGAGGAAAGAAGTTGCTTCAAGGACCATTGACCCTCCACCTAACTACCTCAGAAATATACAACACTTTGTCCACGGTTCATGGCAACATGGGTATGTGCAAGTATGGACAAAAGTGCGCAAGGTCTATGTCCTGTATAATGTTCGATAGTGCCATTGGGTGGTTGTAAAAATCGACTTTATCAGACATATTCTCACTGTGTATGACTTGTATACTGCTTTTACCTCCAACATGATGCTTGTTAGATCTATGGAGCTTATTACCCATACACTTGTACAGGTGCTTTACGAAATGCGGTTTTATGAGAAATCAGAGGTTGAGGCGGAGAAGAAAAAGGGGATTGACATGTCCAAGTTTAACCCATTCACAATTTGCAGAATTCTAGATGTTCCTCAACAAAGTGATGGGTAAGCTGTGTTAATTTAGTAGACTTTGTGGACGTTGTAAATACGTGCACTTCTAATTTCTCTACTTCTTGGGTGGGCAGTACCTCATGCGGCTTTATGACAATTGTTTGTGACACGTGGAATGGTAAGCTCTCCCAACATTCGGCATCGGCTACCGATCAACATGCAAAAGCCTACAATCGGCATGCATCGGCGATTCTGCGGTACAAACCTCGAAGGCCCCGCCTAGATATCCACAGACTCGTGTTGACCTCAGAAGACCCTCCCACGAGTCCCACATCGAAACTAAGTGCTAAGAGCATCCCAAATGCCCTCTATAAATAAGCCCCTTCCCTATAGATAAGGGGTAAGACTTCTCAGCTTGATTTTTATGCTAAATACATTGTCAGTGGCAGAGTTCTTAGAAAGAAACTTACTTCGGCATCGGAGGGTCTTAGGCTGGTTCCACACCGGTACCATAGACCTCACGAGCCTCGGCTCCTCTTGATTCAAGATCGGCATCCCGGGACGGAAAGAACCTGCGTCAAAGCACTCAATCGATCCCTGATCGTCCACATCACCTGTAAGTTGCACCTATCTCTATCTGTACAGTTTTAGTGCCAACAACAGTCAAATTCATTGAGTATCTAAGTGCCGGTATTTCTTTTGATACCATTGACCCATCGAAGTTTGGCTACAATTGATTGACGCTTGCAATCGAGGCTTTTAGGGGGGAGGCTTATGTCTGAGGTAAAAGTCCAAATCTCACCTCATTTCAATTCACTGTTAAGTACTTCCTTGGGAATTCAGTATCAATTTACCTCATTTCAATTAAGTCTTAAGTACTGAGTTGTGAATTCAGTCTTCATTTAATACAACTTTGATGAACAAAAACGCCTAATTTTGTGCATCAAAGTTTAGGGTATTGGGGAATTGAAAACTATAGATGGTAACGTACATCTTTTGCAAGTGGCATTTAAGTATCTCATATGTTGTGAACTCCGACTGTGTATCATCCAAAACTTGTTTCACGTTCATTATGAAAGGTTAATACAATTACTTATTACAATTATTAGTTACAATTTTGGATGTTCAATTTTCCCTTTATATGAATGTTTATGTGGCACATGTGTCCTTATTATGTTGGTGGTCCTTCCAGGTTCATACGCGTATTGACTTCACTGATTCTGTGGACCTACGTGAAAGAAGTTGCAGGCTGTTTCGTCATATTGTAAATGCTGAAACCTAATGTGATGTATTGCCTTACATGCCACCATTTTTGACATTCTGTACACATGGCAGATCAAGTGTTGTCATTTTGTAGTAGGAATATGGTCCACTTGTTCATTTGTCTAACGTAATTCGCCAGTACTTGTAATCCATACCACAAGGGCTGTACTCACTTCTCCTTTCTTACAATGCGTTTTTTAGACATTCTGTACTTCACATGTTTTTACAGCTGTATATTTAAACAGATGTAGAGGTTATCTTTGATGGATGTACAAAAGTCGCCCATCCTTGTTAATGCAACATGGTAAAAAGAGTTTCATCCTTGCATTCTAGATTGTATTAATGTTCATTACTTTATTTATACCTAAGTTTATGTATGAAGTTGATATAACCATCGCTTTCATATGTAGTTATGTTCGGATAACCGGATATAAGGAAGCGAAGAGCTTTATGAAATAATGATAATGCTGCTGTTAGAGTTGTGAATCTCTTAAATCCTTTTGTAAAAGCAATGGCTCCCCACACAATAAAGTAGCAATAAAACCGTAAAATACGTACATTATGGTGCCAATATGAGGGCAATAAACATACAATACGCACACATCCAGTTGACAGTAATTTATACAAAGTTAATAATTTGCAACTCAACCGTTACAATACGAGGAAGGTGTAAACAAGGCACCACGATGGAGGCTCGAACCAAGGAATTGCTACAAGCTGAGAGGGATTATTTGATGAAACATTTCAGTCAACTAATTCCCAATTTTGATCCCAGCATGCTCAAACAACCAATTACCCCAATTCTAATAATGGCTCAAGAGCAAAGTCCCAAAAATCCAATGTTTGACAAAGCAAGTTGCTCGGGTGCTACCCATGTGAGAACCCTTGTTTTAGAGGATGAAAATCCCAAGCTTGATCCTGCTGACGCACAACAAGATGAAAAGGTAAATTCTCTGAACTTTTTGTTTTTCTGCTTTTTGAATTTTATTTAGACGTTGCTATTTTTTGTCACCGTCGTTAGAAATCTCAAACAACGATGGTATTTATTTACTGTCGTTTGAAATGGAATAGTACGTCGGTGTTGTCAAGAAATCGTCGTTGGGAGTGAAATACCACGACGCTTTAGATGGTTAAGTTAGACGACGGTTTTATTTTACTTGTTTTACAAGCTATCTTCACTCTCTCTCTCTCTCTCTCTCTCTGTGTAATTTTGCCAAATAATGCTGGTTTTCTCTGCGCTTTGTATTTCTCTGAATTTTGCATTTGATTTAGACGACGGTGTCTATTTACCATCGTCTAAAATCCTTTACTACGTCGGGTTTTGCAAGGAACCGTCGTTTGGAGTTAAATACCATGACGATTTAGATAGTTTAGTTACTGTTGTTTATTTTACTTGTTGTACAAACTATCTTATATATCTTGAAATTACCTGTAGGATGACTAAAAATGCCTAGAAGGGGTTGAATAGGCTAATTCGAGATTATTAACAATAAATAAAAATAGACTTTCGAAGTAGGATTGATATGGCTTATCAATCTTGAAATGTGCAGAGCTTGAAGTAAAGGAACACACAGATATTTATTTTACATGGTAAAACCTCACCTCTAGGAAAAATCCACGGGACTCCTTAGTCCAAAGCAAATCCACTATAGAATGAAGACTACAAGAAGTACTCACACACTTATCCTAGACACAATCTAGATAAAGTATACCGACTTCTTCGTAACTCAACTTCTGTCACTAGTGATCTTCGACACTCCTTATGTTGAACGCAATATTGGTCGCGATTGCTTCAAGCTCGCCGGAGGATAAATGCCACAACGGTCTTGGTGCCCTCAACCGTATGAGTCACCGACATGCATATGAATGCAATATGAATGATGAAAGGATTTGATAAATCACCAAGTAAACAAAGAACACTTGATCACTTATCTTAAAAATTTGCACAACAACTTTCTCTTAAAATTTCAATATGCTCAAAAAACAATATGTCGAAAGCTGTGTCTTCTCAAAAGAGAGGCACACTTCTTTTATTCAAAACTCACTCTCCTAGTAAGACAGAGACCAAAGAGTCCACAAGCACTCTTCAATTATGACTCCAAATTTAATCCAACAAGGACTAGTGAAAGACGTCAAAACATGGAGCCAAATACTGTTCAATTATGGATATTAGTTTGGATTCAATATGGACTCTAAGTGATGACACCAAACAACCACTTTTATGAAGAAACATTTATCTCCTAAAACAAGTTAATTAGGAGATGAGCACGGTGCATGTCACTATAGGAAATGCTAATATTTTAACTTAAATCACAATGGCATTGAAAATAACTTCAACTAGGAATCCTATTGTGAATGCATGATTATGTCATGATTTACCTGAAATCAAGTTTCTCATATCGGTCAAGTCATGCTTCGAAAGTATGGGATTGAATGTGTTGTGCCAAAACGTCCAGTAAATAATATTCACACACTAATTCCCAACCTATGCTAGAGTCTAGGAAATGCCAACACAATTTTTGTACTAACAATCTCCCCCTTTGGCATTTCCTAGACAAAACACCAGATTACATTGCAGACACGTTTACAAAAAGAACCTACACATCCAATTCTTGTAACTTCTACACACCAACAAACAGACTACCAGTGAAGCATAATAGAATTGAAAAATAAGAAATAGAACTTGACACAATTAAACAACAATCCTTCATATGTTAGGAGGTTAAGCAAGTCACTACAAGTTCTGATCCCATAAACAAAACAGAAAGTTATCTCCCCCTAAATATCATGTTTCTACTTTCAACAGTCAAGTTACTCCCCCTAAATCCCATATGTAACACAAAATATTCTCCCCCTTTTTGTTTAGGAAATCCAAAGGAACACAGAGATAACTATAAAAGATGAACAAATCCAGAAGCAGAACATATGAACCTTAGAGGTTGTGAGCCCGAGTAGGACAAGGAGGATCAGGTGGCTGAATATGCCCAACAAGTGTCAGGAACAACTCACCATAGGTGTCAAGACGATCCCAAATGCGGCGAAGCGCATGCGTCACTTGATGGGATGCAGAGAGCAAATCCAAAAGGGCATGTTGCATAGTGAGCATCGCTGCGATGTAAAGTAACCTGATTGTTGACTTTGATGGTGTCGGAAGAGCCAATATCATCGATAGACAGTGCAGGGACACCAGCATGAGCAGCCAAAGCTATGATAATCCGAGGTAGAACAAGACTTGTTGTCAGAATAGTGGCATTTGCTGCACCAACGACGATGAGGCTTTCACGGATGTAGAACTCGACACTGACAGAGTGCTCAATCACAAGCTGGAAGAGAATATGAGTAGCCTTCCAACTCACTTTCCCATTATGGGAAGTGGGATTCAAATAGTTGCGCACAAGCATATAGAGAGAACAGGTCCACTAGGACATCATATCGGATGAGAGCTCGGTGGGAAGCACCTCGGGTGGAGACACATAGAGTCGATTCACCAGCTAATGACAGGGAAGGAAATCTGGAACCGTGACAGGACCCGCCCCGAACTCCTTGGAATCCGCGATGAATCCTATAGTATTTCCGACATCAATCTGATGCCGGGACCACCTATTAACCAAAACCTCTTCTCCAAATCAAAGGAAAAGAAGTTCGAGACATTCTGCCGAAATTTCAGCAGAGTCTCTCCTAAAAAATGGACATTTCCCAAAATTTTCAACTTGTTAAAACACAGTTATAAGCTCAACCAGCAGCGGGCATAATACAATAGCACACAATTTACATAATAGGCCTCCGGCCTTACATTCATCCCTAACAGGGGTTATAATAGAGCAATTGTAAGCAAGACTTTAGTTTACAACCGAAATGAAGTTCGATGAAAATTAACAAATAGAAATGCCCAACTGAAGTAATAGCTTAAGTCATGGCTGCACCTAGGTGAAACCCCAGGCTACCTACGTACCCCTTGGTGAGGGATCAAGCCACACATAGTTCTTACATCAACAATCACAATTCAGACAATATACGATTATTTAAAGTAATACCAACGATTATATTTAGATTCATCTACAACTTCAAATTCGACAAGGCACACACCGAACACTTTATTAGTTCCTTTCCTTTTTATCAGTTCCCTCCTGCAACCATACCCTATCCAAGGCGTATGTTGCTGAACAACACTTTCCAAACCATGAATTAAACATTCATACCTGTGTAGAGTACTCACGAAGCACAAGTTCAAGAATCTAAGCCGAAAACAAATCCACACACACACACACACACACACACACACACACACACACACACATATATACACACACACACACACACACACACACACACACACACACACACACACACACACACACACACACACACACACACACACACACACACACACACACACACACACACACACACACACACACACACACACACACACACACACACACACACACACACACACACACACACACACACACACACACACACACACACACACACACACACACACACACACACACACACACACACACACACACACACACACACACACACACACACACACACACACACACACACACACACACACACACACACACACACACACACACACACACACACACACACACACACACACACACACACACACACACACACACACACACACACACACACACACACACACACACACACACACACACACACACACACACACACACACACACACACACACACACACACACACACACACACACACACACACACACACATATATATATATATATATCACACCTCACACCATCATCGTGTACCACGGGAAGACAATCCCATCCGGGGATCGCTTGACTAGACCACATGGAGGAATCCTCAACAACCATGTGGCCAGGGACGAGCCGTCCATCCAGGGGACTGGGCTAACCAGCACGCACAGTAGAATCCTCAATACTCTGCGCCTGTGACAAGTCCTGCGAGCGCAGACTACCCAGCTATCCATTTCCATGTATCCAAGTATCCATGTCCACTATTTCCAAGTATTAGTATCCAAGGGAAGGTACATATGATAGTATACATCATGCACCGGGGAAAACAATCCAACGTGGGAATCGTTTGGCTGAACCACACAGAGGAATCCTCAACAACCGTGTGGCCGGGGACAAGCCGTACAACTAGGGGACTGAGCTCACCAGCACGCACGACAGAATCCTCAATACTTGTGCGCCTGTGACAAGTCCTACGCCCACAGACTACTCCCGCTAAGGTTCTATAGTAACACCCCGTTAAGGGTGCCCAGGTTTGGATTTATCAGAACCTGGGCACCCTTGACGGGGTGTTACTATAGACCCTTAGCGGGAGTAGTCTGTGGGTTTATGAAGGTACCCAAAAACCATATACACAATAATAGAAATGATAAAACGATAATGATAATAATAATAATAATAATAATAATAATAATAATAATACCACTACTACTACTACTAATAATAATAATAAGCATTCCCGACAATATGCCATAACCACCATTCAAAATCCTATGTATTTATCATTGGCATACAACCTCAGTATTACTATTTGTTACAGTAAGACTACAATCAAAATGTACACCCTAACCCATGACTCCCAGAAACTTAACGTGTGTACACAACCTTCGAAAGGTCCCAAAGCCATTCTAGTACCTTTCCAAAAGATGAAACGGTCTCACATGACCTATGGTCAACAGTTGGTCAACAGTTCGGTCAACCAGGCCCACGAGGCCCACGGCCTTCGATTTCCCATCTGAAAGTTCCTATGGGTTCAACAACGTTTATTATTCATGTCTTGCAGGTTTGGTCAGAATCGAACAGTCGGATGGTTATCGTTAAACCTCAAGTTTGAATTATTGAATTGACGCATCCGGGACTCCGATTCACGATCCGCGAATTCGTACACAATCCTAAAGGTGCCTATATCAACATATTTGAAATTGGAGTCAATCCAACGGTCCGAACAAATCGAACCCGGATAACGCCTAATATGCGAAATTCGACCGACAATCAAACGATAACCAAATTCAAATCCGAGCATACCGTCATGCTTGGGATGACATGAGGATCATTTTAGGACCAAATGGGTCACCCTAACAACGCCCACGCACCGCCACACGCTCCGGCAATGCGTGGGTGCCTCGAGAAATTTCGGCTATTGGAAAATTCTCAGAACACCCAACAATACCTATACCTATATGATCAGGACAACGAGTGGAGCAGCTTTTGTTCTTGGACCATGCCCAAAAAGTGACTGGAACTTGTCGGAAACACGAGCTGAAAACTGGCCAAACTTCAAGCGATAAAACTTGTTCCAAAACCCAAACATCGATCCTAATCAACCCAACCATTAGCTAACACATTGAGACAATGAGAAAGCATACCTAGATTGAAGAAATTGGTGGCCGGAATCGCTAGAACGAACGTCGGAAACTTTACGTAAAATGTGGCCAATGGTCGTGGTGGTACCGATCCCGCCTGATTTGGTGGCTGTATGAGGTGGTGGTGGCCAAAAATGTGGCCGGTTTGTCAAATGGGGGAGGGGGGGCAGTGGCGGAGCCATGTAGGGACCAATGGGGTCCCAGGCCCCTACTCAACTCTCTCTCTCTCAAGCAATTTCACTCTTCTTTTCTTTCTTTCTCTCTCTCTCTCTGTGTAAATAATTTAATGTTGTGTATATGAATTGAATTGAATATTGAAAAATGATACATGAGTTTTATATATACAACAATCATAACTTCATGCGTGAAAGCTGTAATTTAAAGCTTATTTCTAGATTTTTTTTACTTTAGGCTATATTGGTTTAGGGGTCTGACAATGATTTTCAAGAAGCTCCACGAGAACTTGTAGTGTTTATGTTCTCATTCCCTTTATTGAGAGAGAGAGGAGAAAATTTTCATTTAAAAAACTGGACTTCGAATTATTTGCGGTTTTGCCGCTGGGCTTCCGTAGATCATAACTTCTTCATTTCAAATCTATTTTGAGCCCACTACGTGTCTACAAACTCGTATCGACATGATTTACACAATAGTACCATTCAATTCTCCAAAATCCTTTCGAATTAAAAAATATCCAAATTAACCCTATCCCCGAGGGCAAAATTGTAATTTCATAATTTATAAAATTAATTAAATTAAACGAATACTTAAATTTGGGTCGGGATGTTACAAATCGGCTCACACGAGGAGCCAGACTAAGGGCAGCCGAAATAATGTGGAAACTAAGCAGAATAGAAATCCCAAGCACACGCACAACAAGTTCAGACAGAGAAGTAGAGGCAGCGAAAACATTGGAAAGTTAGCATAAAATTAACGAATAATCTGGAAGTTGGGCAGCGGCAAACCACGAACCAATGGTAAGAAAGGATGCCGAGTGAGAAAGTTGAAGAATGTGGAGCCAAAGCTAGAGAGATCGAAGTCCTCTTCAATTCGCAAGGGACGATGACAAACCATAGTAGTGTAGCGAGTAGAGCACGCCGAAGACACGAAGTGAGAGATAGGAGGATGGTGGGAAGCACGAGAGTCAGTGCTTGAAAATGAGTGCCGTGAGGAGGAAGGCTATGATTGGGAAGCAGCAAGCGTGACAACAGATAAAGGATGAGCGGCAGATTGGCGGCGCACAGAGCGAAAAGGGCTGTGGTTAGGAGTAGAGGAGGAGGACAAAGGCCAGCGGTTTCATGTGGTGACCATCGTGAGGTGACAGAGCTAAGAAGTAGTGAGTAGTGGAAGACGAGAACCTTTGGGTTGCGGCAATGGGTGCTGGGGATCAAATCTGACCAATGAGGAAGACAACCTTATGCTGCACAACTTAAACAACCAGTGTGAAAACGCACCGTACGGTTCTTTTTTTCTTTTTTTTTTGGCGAGGAAAAAAAACTAAAAATAATGAAAATTTGGAAAAAAAAAACAACGAACAAGAAAAAAAAAAAGGGAAAAGAAAAACAAGCTAAACAATCAACACATAAAACAAACTGCAGATGCAAACCAAAACTCTCTTGTAGATATACTTAATTTCCATTCATAAACATGCCAAGCTTGTGGGTGAGGAGAGAAAGAAGCAGCAGACCCATCGCTGTCTTAAACGTATGTGAAGCAAAGCATATGAGGACAAAAGCATGATAGCACACGAGATGCACAAACTCACAGATAAAAGAGGAGGCATACCACAATCATGGTGAAAGATAAAAGACACCAAATGAGTCTACCATCAAGAAGCAAAGGTGTGAAGTGAACTTTTTTCAATTAAGCACAAAGAATACGTCTACCCAAGACTGATCCCACCTAAGATAGCACATCCACTGAGTGCATAGTAAGTATATGATGATCAGTTTATTTGGGGTTTGAATTTTATTTTTTTATTTTTTTATTTTTATTTTTTGTTTATTTATTTGATGGCTCACTTTATTGAGCTTTCGACATGATCCATGTAGCGGATGGTCAATCAGTGTGCTCAAGCCAGATGATCCGAATCATGAAGGCTCCAAAGATAAACAACGATAGCAAACCATCACAGCCTGTTGACTCGAAAAGAGAGACAAGTGCGAGAGAGGAGATATTCAAGAGGCCCGGTTACTGAGCAATGATAAGTCACCACCTTTTTTTCTTTTCTTGTTTAAACATATCAACAACTTACATACAATACTTACATACAATAGTGTGATGGCAATCCAAAAAGAGACAAGTGCAAGAGAGGAGATATTCAAGGTACTACAAAGAAAAGAGTGCGCACCCTTCACAAACCCCCTCACGTTTACTTGAAAGATTAGGCAATCCTCTTATAGATTCATGTTTGGACAATTTAATTAAGTCTTGATAGTTCAATTGTCCTAAAACAAACTTGAGAAACTTCATTAGTGAAAAACGATAGCAATTTTCAGGTGACCTTTTTCCAATCATCACATTTGATCTGTCTTTATTAGTGACAATGCATTATGTTTTAGTAAAACTTACCTCACCTATTTCATCACAAAGTTGACTTACACTAATGAGATTTTCTTGAAGATTTTCAACTAGTAAAACATTGTCCAAGCTAGGTGTACCAGTTGCCATAATCTTTCCTTTGCCCAAAATTTTGGATTTTCTTCCATCTCCAAAAGTGACCATTCCACTCACACATTCTGTAGAGATTTCTGAAAAACATGATTTGTCACCGATCAAGTGTCTCGAACACCCACTGTCAAAATACCAAGACTTAGATTTAGAGTCAGAAAGAGTAGAAAGAGCAACAAAACATTTCACATCTAAGATTTCAGGAGCATTAGTTGTTGGGGTAATTTCAAAGGTTAGGAGTTAAGGAAATAAAAGGTTAGAATCTAAAGGGTTTAGCTATTAAGTCTAGTTTATGGGTGGATGTTAATGTGAGGTTTAGTGGGTAAAATGTTTATGATTATGTTTAATGTTGGGTTAATATTACAGCCTATAAATAGGCGTTGTATCCACTCTATGTAGTGTGTGTATTGTGTGCGTATCGTGTGTATCAAGTGAGTATCAAGAGTATCAATCTTATTGAAGTTTGTGTCAAGTAAGTTTGTCTAGGAGCTCTGTGTAGCCTTCGGGCTTCACATCTCCAAAATTATGTTATTTATTTAGTTCATTATATTATTTTTCCCCCTTCATATATAGAGTGCATAAGCATAAAGCTAAATCCACCAATAAGTGGTATCAGAGCTAATACGGTCATGTGGACCTATATTGATATAAGAGATGTGGCGTTTGGAGCATGGTCCAATTACTTTTTTAAAAATGTTTTTGGCATGTAGCATGAAGCGTTGGTTGTGGTTCTATTTTTTTAATTGTGTTGGCATGATGAAAATGGTTTTTGTTGTTATTAAAAGTTTTACCGTGGGCTTGAGATGTGTAGAAAAAAAAATGTTTTTTTTGTGTGTTGGCTGTAAGTGAGAGGCATATTGATGCCAATGAGAAAAAGGCACATGGATGCCAAATGAAGAGAGAAAGGCACAAGGATGCCGAAAGGAAGAGAGAAAGGCACATGGATGCCGAAGGAAGAGAGAAGGGCACAAGGATGCCGAAAGAAAAAAAGGGACAATGGTTCCTTTGAAGATTGGGGCAAATGTGCACCCATAAGAAAAAAGAAAGATAGAAAATGGAGTGTTGTTTGATTCATGAAGGAAATTGTTTGGTTATTAATTGCATTCTCTCTTGCAGCCAGAAAAAAGAAAAAGATGAGTATATCAGTTGTTGTGCCATTCAAGCCCATTATGATTGAAGCTGCACGCAACCTTAATGTTGAACCACATCTTAATTTTGTAACCAAGGGACCAGCTCATGCAATGCAATTCATGTGTCATATTAGTTTTTGATGGAGGCGCACATCCGAATTTTTCAAGCAAATGGAAAAATACAAAGAAGGAGGCAGAACACTTGGCGGCATATTTTTGTCTGAATTATTGGATTGAACAGGGCATCATTAGAGTGCTCGATGTCAACTTTAATGCGTTGATGAATTTCAAGATCGAATGTGGAAAGCTGCAGGAAGATATTGAGACGCTACAAGATCAAGTGATGGATCTAGAGCTAGAAATTGGAATGCTAACACAAGATGAAAATCTAGAAGAAAATGGTATTGACCAGCCACAAATTATTGAAAACATAAGCGACATGGAAGAAGAGTAAGGGGGAAAATATCTATGTTAATAAGCTTTGAAATTACGGGAGAGATTGTTGGGGTAATTTCAAAGGTTAGGAGTTAAGGAAATAAAAGGTTAGAATCTAAAGGGTTTAGCTATTAAGTCTAGTTTATGGGTGGATGTTAATGTGAGGTTTAGTGGGTAAAATGTTTATGATTATGTTTAATGTTGGGTTAATATTACAGCCTATAAATAGGCGTTGTATCCACTCTATGTAGTGTGTGTATTGTGTGCGTATCGTGTGTATCAAGTGAGTATCAAGAGTATCAATCTTATTGAAGTTTGTGTCAAGTAAGTTTGTCTAGGAGCTCTGTGTAGCCTTCGGGCTTCACATCTCCAAAATTATGTTATTTATTTAGTTCGTTATATTATTTTTCCCCCTTCATATATAGAGTGCATAAGCATAAAGCTAAATCCACCAATATTAGTTTGATATACATCACTTGAAAGTGCTAGCAAGCAATTTTGATTTTCCTTTCTCTCCACACTAGATTTGAACTTGGTAAAGATAAGGAATGAGAGAGTTTTGACAACCTGTTTGCCTCTTTTACAAGATATGCAATCTTGTGTTGGATTCTTACCTGTCCTTCCTTGGTGGATTTTAGACTTACTGAAATATGTTGGAGCAGTTTGCATTTTGGTTGGATGTGCCCAAGAGCTCTGCAAAAATGACACGTGGGTATGAATCTCCAAGTTGTTTGAGAAGTTGGAGCACTAGTAGGAAGTGATGATCTGACAAACTTTGTGACGGATACAGCAGGAGACTTGTTGATTGAATCAAATCCTAGGCCACGTTTGTCTCCATCACTTCGACCCATGCTAATCATTTTGCAACCTTTTATGCACCAATTGTCAAAGCAATAATCCTATCCTTTGAACTTTTAAGCTCAATTTCAAGGGCTTAGTTGTCAGAAGTCAAAGAAACAATTAATTTGTTTTGATCAATGCAGTTTTTCTGTAATGTTTCCAATTTCTCATACATATCTTTACCAACTATTTCTGGTTCAGCATCAGAGGATTGCAACATCCTGGCAGTCCTACTATTTTCAAGCTCCAGCACAGCAACTCTTTTTGCAAGCTCTCTATTATGTTTGTTGAGTTTATAAGAGGTAGCCAACAGATCATCATACTTTTCCAGCACATAGTCAATATTTGGTCCTTCATCATTCGCATTGTTTTGTTGTGCCTCATCCAAGCTGATTGTGGTGATTAACACAATGGTATTTTCTTCACTTTCTGATTCTGAGTCACTATCCCTCCAGGTTACATTCAATGCTTTGGCTTTACCATTTTGCTTCTTTTGTGTGTTGGCACATTCAGACGCAATATGTCCATATCCTTCGCATTCAAACCACTTGACTCTTTCTTTAGTGTTTTTCTTCTCAATGAACCTACGAGATTTTAAATTATACCTGAGTGATTTCTCGATTCGTGACTTCTGGAATTTTGATTTTTGAAAAACTTATTGAATTGTCGTGAAAGATAGGCAAATTCCTCTCCATTGAATTCTTTTGATTGGTGTTCACCATCTTCTTTGTCAACCACTTTGAGAGCAACACTTTTACTCTTTTTAGAAGCTAGGTGCTTCATCTCGTAGGTTTGAAGCGATCGTATGAGTTCACGAACTTTCAAAGTGTTCAAGTCACAAATCTCTTCAATGGCTGTGATCTTTGGTTGAAAATGTTGAGGCAAGGACCTTAAAATCTTTTTCACCACCCTATCTTTTGGAATTTTTTCACCTAAACTTGAACATGCATTCACAATGATGCAAAGTTTAGCATAAATTTCAGAAAAAGTTTCATTCTCATCCATTATGATTGTCTTAAACTGTAAAGTGTTCATTTGAAGCTTGGCTCCCTTGACAGTATCTGTTCCTTCATGAGTGACCTATAAAATATCCCAAGCTTCCTTAGAAATATCACAACCAGATATATATTCAAATTGATTGGAAGAGACAACAGTAAATATAGCATTTAACCCCCTTTGATTATTAGTGCTGTGTGTGACTTCTACAGTGGTAAACTCCTCTCTAGTTTTGAGAACAGTGGTTTCTTCATCTCCTTTTTTGATCTTCTTTGTGGGTTCAGGAAATCCATGAACCACTGTATTCCATACACGTTTGTCTAAGGACCAGAGAAACGACTTCATTTGAGCCTTCCAAGCGCCATAGTTGTTGCCATCGAAATATAGTGGATGTACAATTGAGCCCGCGACACGATCCATCCAAAGTATGTCAGATCTCACTGAGTGTGTTTAGCAACCTGCTCTGATTCCAATTGAAATTACTTGTAGGATGACTAAAAATGCCTAGAAGCTGGTGAATAGTCTAATTCGAGATTATTAACAATAAATAAAAAAAGACTTTCGAAGCAGGATTGATATGGCTTGTCAATCCTGAAATGTGCAGAGCTTAAAGTAAAGGAACACACAGATATTTATTTTACGTGGTAAAACCCCACCTCTGGGAAACTCCATGGGACTCCTTAGTCCAGGGAAAATCCATGGGACTCCTTAATCCAAAATAAATCCACTATAGAATGAAGATTACAAGAAGTACTCACACACTTATCCTAGACACGGGATGATCTTCGACACTCCTTATGTTGAATGCAAAACTGGTCGCGATTGCTTCAAGCTCGCCGAAGGATAAACGCCACTACGGTCTTAGTGCCCTTAACCGTACGACTCACCGACATGCATATGAATGCAATATGAGTGATGAAAGGATTTGACAAATCACCAAGTAAACAAGGAACACTTGATGACTTATCTGAAAAATATGCACAACAACTTTCTCTTAAAAATTGAATATGCTCAAAAAACAATATGTCGAAAACTGTGTCTTCTCAAAAGCGAGGCACACTTCTTTGATTCAATTATGGATAATAGTTTTGATTCAATATGGACTCTAAGTGATGACACCAAACAACCACTTTTATGAAGAAACATTTATCTCCTAAAACAAGTTAATTAGGAGATGAGCACGGTGCACGTCACTATAGTAAATGCTAATATTTTAACTTGAATCACAATGGCATTGAAAATAACTTCAACTAGGAATCCTATTGTGAATGCATGATTATGTCATGATTTACCTGAAATCAAGTTTCTCACATCAGTCAAGTCATCCTTCGAAAGTATGGGATTGAATGTGTTGCGCCAAAATGCCCAGTAAACAATATTCACACACTAATTCCCAACACATGCTAGAGTCTAGGAAATGCCAGTACAATTTTCGTACTAACATATCTTTCTTTATTCCTTGAAACAGGATTTCTCAAAGCTAGACTTGCTACCTCCTCTAAAAACCCTTTGCCATTATGCGAAGACGACATTGAAGGCTTTTGACAAAACCTTGAGAATTACAATTGTAGAGGAAGTGTTTGGCTTTGAGCGTGAAACCTTCATCTTGCATGAAGATATTTTTCAGTTTGCAGCCATGGAAGAAATAGGAGCCACTGCGATTGCAATATACATGAGGTAAACCTAAAAATCCAATTTTTATTTTACAATTCACTTTCTTTATAAAAGAAAAAACTCATTGGATTTCATATATTTAGGTACCTATTTTGACTTCTTGAAAATGGCAAATATGGTAAACCTTGTTGGCCTTGTTGACCTTGCTCAAGTTAGCGCTTACTCTGGACTGTTATCTCATAGATCATGACATCTAGCAAATCAACTTGAAAAGGCAGATGGGGATCAAATTTTCTTGGTGCCTTATAATCCAAGGTTAGTCCCTTTAACAAGATTTTCTTAGCGCTTACTCTGGACTGTTATCTCAGTAGCTCTAAACTATTATATGGATTATATGGGTTTTCTTTGTAATTAGGCAGCAACTCTAAATTATTTAACATCTTCTCATTTTGTGTAGGGGTCATTGGATGTTGATAATTGTGAGACCAAAAAGGGAGACTATATTATGTGGATTCATTATCATACCGTGGTTGATGAGGAATGCAAAAATGTAGTGAACATGTAAGTTGATATACTACAGTGTAATGCGTGCTCGTAGGCAGACAAGCGCGCAAAAATATTTTTCATTAACACCTTGTTGTCTTGAAACAGTGCGATCAAAATATTTAATGCACACGTAGGTAGACAAGGGCTCAAAGTAGCCATTTGGAAAACTCTACACGGCACTCCAAGGCAACCATCCAATGTAGAGTGTGGCTACTATGTGATGCGTTTTATGAGAGAGATAATCATGGATCCCAACCTAGACTTTGAGAAGAAGGTAAAAGTCTAAATTTAAGATTTAATTTCTGTTTTTTAACCCTACTACGACTATAATTGGAAAACTGTCGTTTGTATTTTTATAACATGACGGGTTTTGTAGGCGCTCTCGACAGCGCCTACGACGACGGTTTTTGTAAATACCGTCGTTTGTATTACTATAACACATCGATTGTTTTATCTTTGAATAATCATTGTTTATTTTTTGCAGTTTGAGAAAAGAAAAGAACCCACATCATATGCCTAAGAAGACATTGATGAAGTTAGGAAGGAATGGGCAGAATGTGTGAGCCTTTATATGGACCAGATATTTTGTGTTACAATGTACATATTTTTCTTGTAATTAGTGAACAATTAATGACTAAGGAGATGTATTTGTGTATGAATGACAAACCTTTGGACACGTCAGTAATTCCCTAAACCGACGTCTCATTATAGTGACAATGACACAATTATTTCATACACCGTCGTCTTATGAAAGTTGAAAACAAACAATCGACTGTAAATCAACAACATGACATATAATTACTAAAAATACGACGGTTTATATAGAAAACTAACGTCTACCATATACTTTTTAAGGAAAACAATAATCCACCTTAAAAATACCTAAAAAATGTTGTACCTTTAAACAACGTCAATATTTACCCACATAAAGACGTCTTAAAAGACTACAACGGCAAATGACGTTGTAACTTTAAACAACTTTGCTATTTACCCACTTATAGATGTGTTAATGCACTACGATGACGGTAAATTCATAAGACGCAATGTTGTAATTTATAAACAATGTCGGTTCTTACCCAGCTATAGATGTCTTAAGGGACTAGGACAACGATAGATAGATAAATAACGCCGTTGTAAAGGCATACAACAGTGGTTACCTCTCAATACTGTGTGGTTTGATGTTGGAAATAAGCCATCTCGCTCTCTGAATCTCTTATCGCGACATGCGTCAGAAATGCAGGAGTAAGCTTACGAGCACCTGACACGTGTCATTTCCCATTAATAATGTTTTTTTATTGTATTTAATTCCTAATTTTCATAATAAATTTTAAAAAATCCGAAAAATAAACCGACAACTACTATGCACTCATTGAGAGATTGTCTTCCCCCTAAAGCTTTGAAAAATGTAATTTTAGTTATAAAAATTACAAATGACAACCAAAAGTCAAAATTGTTTATAGACAAAGCACAATAGTACTTATACTTTCATAACATAACCTTAAGGTTTGTGTGATCCATTGGTGGCCATAAATACAAATATATGAAATCCTGATTTTAGCCTTATAATATAGAAGGCATTGTTGTAAGGAGCCCGTAGCAATTTCCGATTTATTTTTCTTATATTTGTGTATTTTTTTTGAATTTTTGTAAAATAGAAATAAAGAATTTAGGGTTTAGGGTATATTGAAAAGACACCGGTTTCCTTTTTTCTTTTTGGTCAATTACGCCCTTGGTCACACGCATTCAAATTCCAGGAAAACCAAAGTCCACCTAATTATTTTATTTTTTAAGACATCGGTGAAGGTTTTTACACCGTGAAAAGATTTTACTACAGTGCAATCCATATATTACCAATGTAGTAAAGTCGTACAACGGCGCTATACATGTATTAACCGTCTCTCCGTCGTGACCTTCAACGACATTGTTTTTTTTATTTATCGTTTTCTTTGTTTTTTAGAAATGTGCGCCTTTGAAATATTTGACCGCGGCCTAAAATTTTCAGAATTTGCCCTCCCTCAAAAACATTTCGCTCTCTCTCTTCAACTCAAAATCTAATATTAATGTTTTCGCTCTCCATCCTCCTTCATTTCAAATTGCGCTCTCCCTCTCAAAGCATTGGTGATATTGTCTGAGCTCTACCTACCTGTAAGTACAAACCCTAATCTCACATGCGTGTCCTACTTTATTTAATGATATTGCATTATGGATTCTTAAACCTAATCTGACATGCTTCTTAAATCAATTAATGATTTCATTTGTTTTGGTAGGTGTGGGTTCTTAATATATCTTTTGGAAGCTATGGGTATATGTTTTGGGAGCTATGAATCGGTAATGGAATCTGTGAATGGATTTAGTGTTTGCATGCTTTTCATAATAACTCTCTGTTATGGGCTCTTAATATATGTTTGGTTAACTATGGGTTCTTGGAAAAGGACTGGGAATTGGAGATTTATTTTCTGGATTTTTGTATCCTACGATGATGGTCATTAGAGCAAACCGTCGTCTGTATTGTCGTTATAATTCTGTAACTACCATAGTATGAAATTTTTTATTGCATTTTTAAGAACAATTTTCTAGGTTTTCGTAGCCTAAAGACGACGGTTATCGGAGATACCGTCGTCAGTATTACTATAATATGACAATCGTTTTGTAAATACCGTCGTCTGAAACTTGTATTACTTTTTTTTAAAATATACATTGCTATGTGAATATTGTCGTCTGTCATTGCTTGTCTTTTCACTTTATTATATATATGATTGTATAGTGTGAGAGATGGATAATTCATGGATACATGCGGATAGAAGATTGAAGGCATATGAATTAGGGGTGGAAGGATTTTTGAATTTTACTATAGAAAATCTTGGAAATACAACACATATTCATTGTCCATGTGTTAAATGTGGGAATATTCGATTGCTTGGGGTTGGAATTATAAGGGACCACTTATACTTCAATGGAGTTGACCAAAGCTATAAGATTTGGACATGGCATGGAGAACCTTGGGGATGGAATACTAATGCTAGTAGAAATGTGGAAGAAGATGACAAAAGTAGGTACAGTTTTGTTTATGAAGAATTAGGATGGATGATAATGAAGTTAGTACACGAAGTTGTCGGCATGGAGATCAACCTTTATACCCTGGTTGCAATAAGTACACGAAGTTGTTGGCATTAGTGAAGTTATATAATTTGAAAGCAAAACATGGGATGAGTGATGTATGTTGTTTTACATAATTATTAATACTTCAAGGAGATTTGCTT